TCTGAAATATATGTATTTAACAGAAACAGGAAAGTTTTATTCAGCGTTTGGTTTTGAGTCTTAAACATTGATCAAAAACATAAAAGTTTGGTTTAGATTTTGATTGTTAACACGGAAGGAAGACATAAAAGTTAAAATGGTGTTTGGTTTTGAGTTTAAAACATTGAAAGAAACATCAAAGATTGAAATGGTGTTTGCTTTCATCCTGAACGATATTTTGAATATTGAAGATTTGAGCTATGAAGCATTATGGCAGCTCACACCGGCATACCATTTATGTCAATGGACACTATCCATTTTCATCTACTGGCGATTTCGCTCTTCAGAACTGAGGGATGGATATCTGTCAACACTCAATCAATTCTTCGGGGTGTATACATCAGTAAAAATCTTTTGGGTAAACAGAAAGAGGGAAAAATCTTCATTGGTAACTTTTTATAAATATGTTTTTTTATCCCGTGTGTTGATCCTATGGTTCATTTATCCCTTTATCTTGAAGCTGTGGTAAATTTTCATCCCCGGGTGTTTATCCTATGGTACATTTATCTCTTTTTCTTGAAGCTGTGGTAAATTTTCATCCCCGGGTGTTTATCCTATGGTACATTTATCTCTTTTTCTTGAAGCTGTGGTAAATTTTCATCCCCAGGTGTTTATCCTATGGTACATTTATCTCTTTATCTTGAAGCTGTGGTAAATTTTCATTCCCGGGTGTTTATCCTATGGTACATTTATGTCTTTATCTTGAAGCCATGGTAAATTTTCATCCTCGTGTGTTGATCCTATGATATATTTATCCCTTAATAAGCCTGTTACACATTTCATCACCTTTTTGTTAAAGTTGTGTTACATTTGTTTTGACCCTGTGACACAATTTATCTCCTTTTTGTTAAAGCTGTGTTACATTTGTTTTGACCCTGTGACACAATTTATCTCCTTTTTGTTAAAGTTGTGTTACATTTGTTTTGACCCTGTGACACAATTTATCTCCTTTTTGTTAAAGCTGTGCTACATTTGTTTTGACCCTGTGACACAATTTATCTCCTTTTTGTTAAAGCTGTGCTACATTTGTTTTGACCCTGTGACACAATTTATCTCCTTTTTGTTAAAGCTGTGCTACATTTGTTTTGACCCTGTGACACAATTTATCTCCTTTTTGTTAAAGTTGTGTTACATTTGTTTTGACCCTGTGACACATTTTGTCTCCGTTTTGTTTAGAGTTGGTGTTATTAATTATGATGAGGCTGCAGTAAATTGTAACGCTGTACATTATAGCTATGATGTTTTCATCTTTACATGTACTAATTTTTTTATGCTCGTGCAGTTTATTAATTTAATTTGTTCCTGTGTAACTGCGATAGTTTTTGCCTTTATGTGAAGAAAATGAGGTAAACCTTAATGTCGTGTTTAGAAATTGTCATATGTATATATCATTTGTTGATGCTGTGTTATACATGTATTAATAATCTGACAATAACCGCCTTTAAAAGGTCATTGGGGTTGTGTTTCAGAAGGCCTTCAAGTTGTATTTCCAAGAGCATTGACAGTGTCTTTTCAGGAGCATTGAATATATTTATCCCTAAATCTTGAATCTGTCTTTAAGCTTTCTTTCCAGCAGTCTTGAAGAGGCCTTTTAAGGAACCTCGGAGTTGTCTATTCAGGATACTTGAATCAATCTTTTCTGAAGCCTTAATGGCGTTGTCTTTCCAGGAGCATTAATGTTATCTGTTAAGGTGCCAAGATGTTATCTCTTCATCACAGCATGCTAATACCATACAGAGCAACTTGTTTCTACTGAACCTTGTATAACCTGAAAACTTGTATTACTAGAACTTGGTATTTTTACAGTTAATCAAGGAACATAAACTGTATGTCACTAGGGTGTCAGGATTGTTTCCTTGTTCATAAAAGGTATGTGTCTCTAGGGTGTCAGGATTGCTTCCTTGTTCATAAACTGTATGTCACTAGGGTGTCAGGATTGTTTCCTTGTTCATAAACTGTATGTCACTAGGGTGTCAGGATTGTTTCCTTGTTCATAAAAGGTATGTGTCTCTAGGGTGTCAGGATTGCTTCCTTGTTCATAAACTGTATGTCACTAGGGTGTCAGGATTGTTTCCTTGTTCATAAAAGGTATGTGTCTCTAGGGTGTCAGGATTGCTTCCTTGTTCATAAACTGTATGTCACTAGGGTGTCAGGGTTGTTTCCTTGTTCATAAACTGTATGTCACTAGGGTGTCAGGATTGTTTCCTTGTTCATAAAAGGTATGTGTCTCTAGGGTGTCAGGATTGCTTCCTTGTTCATAAACTGTATGTTACTAGGGTGTCAAGATTGCTTACTTGTTCATAAACTGTATGTCACTAGGGTGTCAGGATTGCTTGCTTGTTCATAAACTGTATGTGTCTCTAGGGTGTCAGGATTGCTTCCTTGTTCATAAACTCTGTCACTAGGGAGTCAGGATTGCTTCCTTGTTCATAAACTGTATGTCACTAGGGTGTCAGGATTGCTTCCTTGTTCATAAACTGTATGTCACTAGGGTGTCAGAATTGCTTCCTTGTTCATAAATTGTATGTGTCTCTAGGGTATCAGGATTGCTTGCTTGTTCATAAACTGTATGTGTCACTAGGGTGTCAGGATTGCTTCATTGTTCATAAACTATGTCACTAGGGTGTCAGGATTGTTTCCTTGTTCATAAACTGTATGTGTCTCTAGGGTATCAGGATTGCTTGCCTGTTTATAAACTGTATGTCACTAGGGTGTCAGGATTGTTTCCTTGTTCATAAACTGTAGGTGTCTCTAGGGTGTCAGGATTGCTTCCTTGTTCATAAACTGTATGTCACTAGGGTGTCAGGATTGCTTCCTTGTTCATAAACTGTATGTGTCTCTAGGGTATCAGGATTGCTTGCTTGTTCATAAACTGTATGTCTCTAGGGTGTCAGGATTGCTTGCTTGTTCATAAACTGTATGTGTAAACTGTTCATAAACTGTATCTCTAGGGTGTCTTGTTCATAAACTGTTGTCCTAGGGTGTCAGGATTGCTTCCTTGTTCATAGGGTGTCAGGATTGCTTGCCTTGTTCATAAACTGTATGTCTCTAGGGTCAGGATTGCTTCCTTGTTCATAAATGTATTGTGTTCATAAACTGTATGTCTCTAGGGTGTCAGGATTGCTTGCTTGTTCATAAACTGTATGTGTCTCTAGGGTATCAGGATTGCTTGCTTGTTCATAAACTGTATGTCTCTAGGGTGTCAGGATTGCTTCCATGTTCATAAACTGTATGTCTCTAGGGTGTCAGGATTGCTTGCTTGTTCATAAACTGTATGTCAATAGAGTGTCAGGATTGCTTCCTTGTTCATAAACTGTATGTGTCTCTAGGGTATCAGGATTGTTCATAAACTGTATGTCACTAGGGTGTCAGGATTGTTTCCTTGTTCATAAACTGTATGTGTCTCTAGGGTGTCAGGATTGCTTGCTTGTTCATAAACTGTATGTCACTAGGGTGTCAGGATTGCTTCCTTGTTCATAAACTGTATGTGTTCATAAACTGTATGTCACTAGGGTGTCAGGATTGTTTCCTTGTTCATAAAAGGTATGTGTCTCTAGGGTGTCAGGATTGCTTCCTTGTTCATAAACTGTATGTTACTAGGGTGTCAAGATTGCTTGCTTGTTCATAAACTGTATGTCACTAGGGTGTCAGGATTGCTTCCTTGTTCATAAACTCTGTCACTAGGGAGTCAGGATTGCTTCCATGTTCATAAACTCTGTCACTAGGGTGTCAGGATTGTTTCCTTGTTCATAAACTGTAGGTGTCTCTAGGGTGTCAGGATTGCTTCCTTGTTCATAAACTCTGTCACTAGGGTGTCAGAATTGCTTCCTTGTTCATAAATTGTATGTGTCTCTAGGGTATCAGGATTGCTTGCTTGTTCATAAACTGTATGTGTCACTAGGGTGTCAGGATTGCTTCATTGTTCATAAACTATGTCACTAGGGTGTCAGGATTGTTTCCTTGTTCATAAACTGTATGTGTCTCTAGGGTATCAGGATTGCTTGCCTGTTTATAAACTGTATGTCACTAGGGTGTCAGGATTGTTTCCTTGTTCATAAACTGTAGGTGTCTCTAGGGTGTCAGGATTGCTTCCTTGTTCATAAACTGTATGTCACTAGGGTGTCAGGATTGTTTGCTTGTTCATAAACTGTATGTGTCTCTAGGGTGTCAGGATTGCTTCCTTGTTCATAAACTGTATGTCAATAGGGTGTCAGGATTGCTTCCTTGTTCATAAACTGTATGTGTCTCTAGGGTATCAGGATTGCTTCCTTGTTCATAAACTCTGTCACTAGGGAGTCAGGATTGCTTCCTTGTTCATAAACTGTATGTCACTAGGGTGTCAGGATTGCTTCCTTGTTCATAAACTGTATGTGTCTCTAGGGTGTCAGGATTGCTTGCTTGTTCATAAACTGTATGTCAATAGAGTGTCAGGATTGCTTCCTTGTTCATAAACTGTATGTGTCTCTAGGGTATCAGGATTGCTTGCTTGTTCATAAACTGTATGTCTCTAGGGTGTCAGGATTGCTTCCATGTTCATAAACTGTATGTCTCTAGGGTGTTCATAAACTGTATGTCTCTAGGGTGTCAGGATTGCTTGCTTGTTCATAAACTGTATGTGTCTCTAGGGTGTCAGGATTGCTTCCTTGTTCATAAACTGTATGTCTCTAGGGTGTCAGGATTGCTTGCTTGTTCATAAACTGTATGTGTCACTAGGGTGTCAGGATTGTTTCCTTGTTTATGAAAGGTATGTGTGTCTAGGGTGTTAGGATTGTTTCCTTGTTCATAAAAGGTATGTGTGTCTAGGCTGTCAAGATTGTTTCCTTGTTCATAAAGAGTATTTGTCACCAGGGTTCTTAGATAATTTCATTGTTTATAAGCTGTTTATCATATGGGGCTAGAGTATTTCTGTTTTTTTTTCAAATTTACCTAGAACTGTAATAATGGAATAACAAACACAGAGAAACTGGCCATTATTTTAATGTCACAAAGAGATTACCAATGGATGGTGGACAAATCACGCAAGCACAGAAACTGGTACAATCTGGATCATACTACACTCTCATACACTCGTATTTTTAAGTTATGCACATCGACATATGTACAAGTGTGTACTGGTATACTGCAAGGTGTCCACACCTACATACCTGCCTATATCCACAGGTGTGCACATTTAAACTTTTTTATGAGTATTCAGGTACACAGCAAAGTGTGCACACCCATAAGTATATAAGTATAAACATTTATATCCACAGGTGTGCACATCTATGTATGTATACAAGTACACATCCTGATAGGTGCACACATACTTTACAGGTGTGAACATATCTATTTCTCTATGTGTACACAAGTACCCCTCTACAAGCATTTACCAGTACACATCTCTATATGCTCATCAAACCCATTTACAGGTGTACACAATGTACACATCACATGTGTACACAAGGTACACATCGTAAGTGTGCACAGGTACACATCATGTGTCCTCGCATACAACTCACTAAACAACACCCACAACTATAGTCCGCACTCACTCATACATTGAGGTAGTAAAACTTTTGAGCTACGCTGATACAGGTAACTATAGCGACAAGACCAAGCTTCCGAATCTTAACCAAAGTGGTTATATGACAGTAATATAGAGAAAGTTACAACAAAGAGATCGCACACATTCCTAACTCAAAACAACATGGATCACCAAAATAGCTATATACATAACAAATGGTCATGTAAATATGAGCAACAGATACAAAACAAAAGTTCAGAAAAAAAATGGTTCAATAAGTGTAGCAATAAAAAGTTTCACATTTATCATAAATTGTCATTTAAAGTTTTGATTTTTTTTACTTTAGGTCCCAAATCTTTAACTTTTTAATTGATATTATAAAATCTATGACATGTTTTCGATTTTTTTCTTGTATATTGCGATTTGTCATACAGATGAAGGAAGGTAAAAATTGATTGAAGAATTTGATGTAGAAGACTATATATGTGTTATCTACACACTACACTCATACCTCTAGAGCTTCTGCTAGTTTTATAAATATAGATATATATATAGATATAGATATATGTATTTCATGAATATTGACAATCTTGCAGTGGAACATGTCCAAGCACATCACAGACAGAATGAAAATTAAAACAGATGAAAATGCGACCTCTCACCTCTTGCACAGGTTTTTGATTATAATGACAATGGCTAAAACTCCTCATATCACTGAGGAAATAAAATAGTCCGTTTCCAATAGCATCTAATAATGTTGTCCATGGTAACATCAACAGGGCTTCCAATAGCAACAGTGTCCATAGCAACACCTGAGGTAGTATTCAGGCAACAACGAGCTGTACAGCGGCAATATTGGAACCCTGTAGTCAGAGGTACAAAGTAACTCACATGATTTATCACAGTAGACTTGTCCAAAGGTCAAGTCTGATTTATCTTTGGTGGTCAGCATTGCCATGGAAACTAACTTGCTTTACAACAAATAACACTGTAATAGAGATATCATACACTGATTTCAACAGGAGAATTATCTTTTCCTAGCTTCAAAAGCATCAGGAATGATAATTCAATATTCCGAAAATAAGATTAAGCAGGAGTTATCTACCCCTGACAAAAAAGCAGTTCTCTTATGTCAAGAAAGCAGGTAATACATTCTCTAAACTGAAATAAGGAGGGCTATGCTTTCCAGTTTTATATCAAACGGAGTTATCTTCTCCTATCAATCCAGGAGTGTCTTCCCTTGCCTCAATAATATTTCTGAAAATTATCCTATGAAGTTGATACAAACCCTGGAGTCCATTAGCATAGCACATTTCCTTATCAGATGAGTTACATACAAGTTACACAAAGTAACGAAAAATGAGTGGATTTCAAGTGTTAGTAACCTCAGTAATCAGCACCGTTTATATATGAGCCCTAATCCTTCACTGTGTCATGATCAAACTGGACAGTTCAAGTGTCCACTGAGGGATTTTAAGATCCCTGAAGTCTGAGGTGATATTTGTCCAGCTTGACCTGTTCCTTACAATGTGCGAGCACCTTGATTGAGCTGGGGAGATAAACACATTGTCCGTGTGTAGGCTGATATGCCTGTAGGAGTATATACCGTGAACACAACTGAGTATTGAGAAAACATCCTGACCTAGACAAGTCACGCCTCATAATAGTGATGGTAGTGATGGTGATGATGGTGCTCATGAACATGGTGATGCTCATGTCTTTGGACAATGATGCGATCTCCATCTAAATCGCACGTATGCTCACGCTCAATCCACTCGGCGACCTGCTGCATTGCCAGGTCATGATCCTTTTCTCTGTGCCGATGCCTTCTGTGGTAGTGTGCAGACACCGCATCAGGAATATGCATGGGTAAACTTACTGGTCGAAACCGCCCATGTTTATGTGGAGAGGACCCTGCAGATTTATGGTGACCTTTAGGTGACCTGACTGCTGTTTCCTGGGGATCAAATGACCTTGACCTTATATGGTCATGCTTTGCACTGCTGTCCACCACTGCTGGTTGCTGTTCATGTTTAACATTCAGACACTCAGTTTCCCGTCGAATGTTGTCACACTTTTGATTTGTATCCTGGGACCGTGACCGGTGATGCTGACTCACAAGGGGCTGCTGGGAAGCCTGACCATGACCGATGGCATTGTTTGTAAATGACTGACACTTGGTGATTGCATTATGCTCTATACCAGCGAGGTCCAGATAGTAATTACGTCGGTCCTGGCATTCCTTTGCCTGGTCACCAGGATTGATATTTACATCAACAGGTGCAGTGCCATTGTTTTTATGGCCTCGGTGGCGCCGTTTGTGGTTTGAATGCTCCTTAGTTGTGCCTTTACAGTCACTATGATGGCGCCTGAAATACACAAAGAGTAAGACTTGAAAACATGTACCAAGTTAATTAGTTTATATCACGGACATTCTGTAAATGATTGATATTTCTGTATTTATGTACCAAAGTTTGAGGCCTTACAAACTATTCCTATCTGACATTTGAGTTCTCTTCACCTGATAAGCAGATTTGAATCTTTTGTCTCCATCCCATCATTATCTTTATTTTATTGCATGGCATTGTCACAAATAAAGTCTACACTGTTACTGCAGTTATGTCACTGATAAAGCCTGGCAAACTATTTACAGTTGGTCTCTAAAATTTGTCATCATAAAGACGCTGATTTATCAGTTTAATGTGATTTGCATAAGTGTTTCTCTTACATCGTTACACTTCTTGATAATGCATCTCAGAACTTTTGAAGGATAAAACATTCACATTACTGATGAAACTCAAGATTGAGAACCAAAAATATCCTATTTTAATAGAAATCCCTTCAAAATGATTATCCTTTTAATTCTGAAAACCCAAAACAAATATATGTATATGTAGTGAGCTAACGCCTGTCCTATGAAGGCCCTTACATCTATAAGTCTCTACACACATCAATTTACTACTGGTTGACATCAATTTACTACTAGTTGACATCAATTTACTACTGGTTGACATCAATTTACTACTGGTTGACATCAATTTTCTGTTTGTTATTCAGTTAACTGGAATACTCATACAGATTTATCATCTCCATTTTTAAAAATATTCAGCTGGTTTTCCATTTTGGTTGTCAAAAAACCAAATTACCAAAAAAAAAAAAAAAAATCTTTGTCCTCTGGCATTTTTTCCATTACATTTATAGGCAGTATTTCACAATAGACAATAAAACTGCTTTTTCTACGTCATATATTTATTTCCTTTGACTGATACTGTAATAAGCGATTTGAATCCTAGCGTTTTGCCTTGCCACTTGTAGTTAAGTCTGACATTGTATCAGAACATACTTGGTTAGATAATGCCCTTAGACGTCCGTGTATGATGCCGTCTATTCCCTCCCTCCTGTCCATTGACTAGGAGTCTCATGAAAGGGCATCGACATTCCCCTCCTATAGATTAACGCTACTTCAAAGTCACAACAATGAAACATAAAACAAAACCAGCGTTTGTACACAAAGCTATCAGGATGAGACGCCTCTCCAATATATAAATTGGCATTTAATTACCTATATAGTCATGTCAAATTTCTGTAGTGATTATTGATCTCCAAGGAAAGAATAAGCCTGCTTTTACTCCATCACAACACAAATTTATTGTCTTGGCAATATTTTTGATAAAGCCATACATGCAGTTGGCTCCCTGTGAACAGAGACACTTTAAAGAACCAAACACATCTTTGAAAACTCTTTGATGTAAGAGGGTCTGCCTTCCATGAAGTGTTATCAATCAATTTGTGTAAATGAGATTGCCTAGAAGTTTACAGTCCCTATGGAACTGATGCTTCTAAGTCCTTTTCAGTAGCTGAATCTGGGCAACTTCAAAGTCAGCCTGACCGTAAAGCAACAGAGGGACTCCTAGATATCTACAACTGCTGGTCAAGTATCTAGTTTGGGCAACTAGAAAATGGTTTGTTAATTAAATTCAATATTTCGATAGGAGTTTTCTTTTATCAATAAATAGATCTTGTGATTTCGAAATCATTTTCCATACCAAGAAAAAGAGCATCTTATTAGCTCTCAGTTTGTACAACCTGTTGAAACTTTTATGTGCTGATGGCATTGTTGTAAGATCTCGTTAAGACCAAATGTTATATCAGTTAACATATGTTAACCTACTTTTCTCCAAATCCTGATATCAAACAATATCTTAGGACATTGTTCTGGGTGGATTCATACTGATTTAACACAAACATTGCTGTCTGATTAACCCGTCCCTCAAACAGCTGTCTGATTAACCCGTCCCTCAAACAGCCGTCTGATTATCCCGTCCCTAAAACAGCTGTCTGAATAAACCGTCCCTCAAACAGCTGTCTGATTATCCTGTCCCTCAAACAGCTGTCTGATTAACCCGTCCCTCACACAGCTGTCTGATTAACCCGTCCCTCAAACAGCTGTCTGATTAACCCGTCCCTCAAACAGCTGTCTGATTAACCCGTCCCTCACACAGCTGTCTGATTAACCCGTCCCTCAAACAGCTGTCTGATTAACCCGTCCCTCAAACAGCTGTCTGATTAACCCGTCCCTCAAACAGCTGTCTGATTAACCCGTCCCTCAAACAGCTGTCTGATTAACCCGTCCCTCAAACAGCTGTCTGATTAACCCGTCCCTCAAACAGCTGTCTGATTAACCCGTCCCTCAAACAGCTGTCTGATTAACCCACCCCTCAAACAGCTGTCTGATTAACCCGTCCCTCAAACAGCTGTCTGATTAACCCACCCCTCAAACAGCTGTCTGATTAACCCATCCCTCAAACAGCTGTCTGATTAACCCGTCCCTCAAACAGCTGTCTGATTATCCCGTCCCTCAAACAACTGTCTGATTAATCCACCCCTCAAACAGCTCACAGAATAACCCATCCCTTAAACAATTGAGTAATCTGTCCCTCAATCCATTGATTGTAACCTGTCCCTTGAGATTTGGGGCGATTAAACATGTCCCTAAAAACATGCTGTTTAAACCTGTCTCCCAAGATGTGTCTTAAGAACCGAGTGGTTCTTAAAAATTGAATGATTACACCCATCATAAAAAACAATGACTGATGTGATACCTGATTAGACTCGTCTCTTAAAATAACGCCTAAATTAATGATAAAAGATAAGTAACAAATTACACATGGTTATAAAATGCAGGTCACAGCCATAATTTAACTGTGATGAAATGCATTAAACAGTATATTATAACACACACCTATTCAACCACAGACCTTGAGTTGTGCAGCTCAATCTATAAAGTGCTGTAATTGCTTGGTTAGACCTAGTTTATGTCAGCAGACCACATATAAGTCAATCACATCATAACTCAAAAATATGATTTGCCTGAGGACCTTTACATCAAAGTGAGGAAAATTCTTTGTACAATTAATTACAGAGTCATCCAAATGTGCTCTCGATTCAGCTGCTGACTTGCATGTCCAAAAAGTCAAGAATTATTAACTACCAGCTGCTGGCCAATGGCTAATTATCCAAATCTCTCGAATGTTTAAATCTCTGCCTTTGACACTCCATGAACAACAAAGCTCTCATTAGAAGGCATTGATTGGTTCCTTAAATGAATTAAAGCAGTCGGATCAAAGCAGGATCAAAGCCAAACCCCATTCACTGACTCTTTTATTCTTTCTTCTGTTTCTTCACCGAGACAACAGATAGGAGCCAATACATATAAAATGCCATCACTCAGAGATGAATCGTAGTACGATTGACCTGATCTGTTTTGTTGGCGAGTTTCACAAGGGGATGATCACGACTTCACGTAATTACTGCACGGGACAAGGATGAATCCAACTTAAAAGGAACAACCCCACAAGAAATAGAAAAAAAATTCTAGATTAAATACATGATAATGCTTGTCTTTCATCCTAGGGATGTATGTGTATCCAGTACACTGGCTATAAATTAATAATTTGTATAAATCAAAGGCTTATGGCAATATCAAAGAATTGGTCATGAAACTGATCACTGTCCGGAACAAGGCTATATATTCTCTAATTAGTGGACATGACAGCCAACAATACAGACTCACTTCTCTACCACACCAAGGGAAATGTACAGAAGGTATCAAACTACAGGACAGACAGTAGGGGGAATGTAGATTGTGAGGATAATGTACTAATGGTATGAGGTAGGACTTAGCTATAGCAGGGGGTAGGTAGACTGTGAGGATAATGTACAAATGGTATGAGGTAGGACTTAGCTATAGTAGGGGGAATGTAGACTGTGAGGATAATGTACTAATGGTATGAGGTAGGACTTAGCTATAGTAGGGGGTAGGTAGACTGTGAGGATAATGTACTAATGGTATGAGGTAGGACTTAGCTATAGTAGGGGGTAGGTAGACTGTGAGGATAATGTACTAATGGTATGAGGTAGGACTTAGCTATAGTAGGGGGTAGGTAGACTGTGAGGATAATGTACTAATGGTATGAGGTAGGACTTAGCTATAGTAGGGGGTAGGTAGACTGTGAGGATAATGTACTAATGGTATGAGGTAGGACTTAGCTATAGTGGGGGAATGTAGACTGTGAGGATAATGTACAAATGGTATGGGGTAGGACTTTGCTATAGTAGGGGGTAGGTAGACTGTGAGGTATAATGGTATTGGGTAGGACTTAGCTATATGGTATGAGGTAGGACAAATGGTATGGGGTAGGACTTTGCTATAGTAGGGGGTAGGTAGACTGTGAGGATAATGTACTAATGGTATTGGGTAGGACTTAGCTATAGTGGGGGAATGTAGACTGTGAGGATAATGTACAAATGGTATGGGGTAGGACTTTGCTATAGTGGGGGCAATGTGAAAATCCAATTAGGTAGGATTTTTTAGGTATTGCAGTAATTATCACAAGTTGCATATTCCTGAATAATTGTGTTTGTTTAATAGCTTTCTGCTACATATAACTATCATTAGGGAAAAAAACTCCATGTTGATTGTCTTATATATAGCTTTTGACAGTCCATCTTCAAAATCAAGGTTATTACAAGGGTAGCCACCAAAAATAAAGGTCACATACTGAACAAGTGTTAATATCTTCTTAACGTAAAATCAATCCTACAGTAAACCTTGCACTTTTAAGACATAAAAGAAGAGACAACAATCTGGTTACCATGACAACCAAGTGAGAAAAAAAATAACACAGAGTCCTGATGTACAAAGGTATAGTAGTAGCTACTCAACAGAACGGTGTGTCAATATATAGGCTTGACTCCAGGGACCAACCAGAACCATCAACTGCTGAGCGGGTTCTGTAGGTAGTCAAGCAGGACCCACAGATACTCTGAAGCAGCAAGGATCAAAGTGAATATAATAACACCTACAGAATATATGGGGCCATTACACTCATTATGTAAAGCTTCTACAAGGGTTTGAAGTGTGCTGTTTCAAAGACACACTCCCTACATTTGACAGAAAGAGGCAGACAAAAGGCAGGATGAGTCTGGAGACAAGATGAAAAACAAAAGAAACAATCTTGGTTACAAGGAGTCTTTTACCTACCATCTTCTCCCCAGAGACCAAAACAATGCCATTTGTCCTCTGTCACAAAGGCTGAGTTCTGATTTATTTCCACACCATGATTAAATAATTCTTTTTGCAAATGATGAATAAATATCTTCATCATAAAAAATGTATGCCTTTGCAGGGTTCAGGTTTGCCTTTGAAAAGGAGACATGTATGCAGTTATGAAGGTCTCTAGATGGGCTGGTCTCAACACGTTGAGGAAGTGACATTTAAATTATTCTCTTTTATCAGCAATTTCAATTTCAAAGGTTCCAACTTAACAGCCATAAAGGCCAGTACAACTGCTGATGTGAAACACATTCTATTATGTGTAACAAGTCGGATGACGCTGTAGCTCATTATATTACCAAATAACATACTGTGTATGTCCAGTGTATTTAAGACATTTCTGTAGATTTGTGACAATACTTGTGTCATCCATCACATTTTCCCATCCTGATTTTCAGTATACCTAAATAACAATTCCGATTCAATAATCCATGTTACACTGGTACTGTTGTGTCATGTTGATACAACAGAGGTTACATACTAAAGCTTAGATAAGTAAATCAGCTCCCTGCTTTGTATTTACAAAGACCTTCGTGGAAATGGTGCTTATAACATTATGAACTCCGAATATGTATAGTATAATTTCATTAAAGTTGGAAATGGCTTTTATTGCCAAAGAGCTACCACTACCGTGACATTACAATCATTTTTGCAGGTTTATTCAGTTGAATCAGGGACACCATTTCCAAAATTTTGAGGAGACCCAGTAAACAGATATAAGAGGAACAGATTTTGTATGACAAAGTTTAAATCAATTAGCAATGGTTGATGACAAAGGTTTGAAGCAAGGAGAAGAATCTGGGACAGCGACCGTCATATCAATGAAAATAATAAGACACAGAGGACAGTAGTGATATTAATCAATGCTAATTAAGAATATGCTGTTTAATCAAATTTAAATAAAATTTTAAATGTCTTATGGTTTCATTCATGGAATGTTGCACACAAAATGTTATGTGTAGGTTTCTGCCAAATAGACTTACCATGTTAAACAGGATAACATGATATCACATAAGTGATGCGATGGATTATCATCTCACGAGGGCATCCAAAAATGTCTGTATTATATAAAAGCTACATCTAATCCATTTAGATCTAAAACCTTCCCCAGTTTCAGGTTGATGTGATAATGATAGGGACTATGACTGAAGTTATAACCATTGGTACAGGTCTAATAATGTAAACTATTGTTATTATATACCTGTTAATGGTGCAGCTGTCGCACTGTGAGGTATACAGCTCTGATTACATGGTAGGTATTTCAAACTATCATTACATCCAGACAGCATTAAAATTTTGTAGGGACTATTTCCCCCTCAATTGTAAATGCTGTCAATTATCAGACAGCTTACAACACATGTTTGTGTTTAGTAACCACAGCTGAAAATCAGCTGACATAGAGATATACTTAAACACATATTATGTACATAATGTTGGATAACTTTCATCCTGTGTTGTAGATATTATCTGACCCACCATTACAATAGGAGGACATCAAACCAAACAAAACCAGAGAAAGAATATTGCTGGGCTGCTTTCAAAGTGCCCTAATTTAGTATTTAGAATGACACAGCTGTGGGTGATGCTATTTCTAATAAAACTCAGTGAGAGTCGTGTAGCCACCTATGGTCCTTTACACACTGATAAACGCCATTGAGTACTCAAAAACCCATTCAGAGCTAGTCATGTTGTGTGAAGGCTTTCATAGCTCAGCACTAGATTGCCCCACCTGTACAAAATGGGTTAGCTTTCATCCTTTCATACCAGGTGCTATAAATCATATCCTATGTCTTCATGATCAATACCAAAATACAACGCTTATAAAGATGAACGAGCATAAAATTGAAATTTCTCTGATCCGTATCCAATAACCTGATCATAGATCAAAACAGGACTAAATATTTGTTTGAATATCAAAATGTACAGAAAGTGAGTCAAGTATTCTGGAATCTTAACTGTTTAAAGTCACAGATGCTGCAGCCTGATTTGCTGTAAACACAGTGAACTTTTACTATACTTGCCCATTCTGGTACCATTTGCTGTTTTTGTATTCATGACCTTAAGCCATTGTTTTCTTCCTATTTTAACATTTCTTATTTTTTATTTGAAACTATTTGAATTTTTAATGAATGTCTACTGCTTATCCTGCTTTTTGATATGTTTTATTTAAACACTTCTGTTCCGTTAAGGTAAGTCATTATTTTTAGAATCAGCAATACTCAAGCATTCAAGGTAACATGGCACATAAATTACCATCTAATTCTTGTTACCTACCGTAGTTGTTTAATGTGATTACGCTCCATGTTTTCTTGGACAAGTTCCGCAAGTTCTTGTTGTTCCTGGGAAGTCAGCTGTATCCTTTTAGTGCAGCTCTGTCCTGGACAAGATCCTTGGTTGACCCCCTGACCTTGACAGGATGTTTGGTTGACCCCTTGACCCTGACAAGATCTTTGGTTGACCCCTTGACCTTGGCATGAAGTATGATTGACCCCTTGACCCTGACACGATGTCTGATTGATACCTTGACACGAGGTTGGGTTCACACCAGTTGAAGACTGCACTTTATTTTCATTGTTGCACTTAATTGGCATTTGAACATGAGTTCGTGTAAGGTTATTCAACTTAGAGAATTCTTTTGATTTAGGAGAATCTTTTGATTTTGATATTTCCTTCACTTTGTCTTTCCCGCAGTCTTTCACTTTTAAAGGTGACGTCCGGTTGCCCGGTAACTGGGAGCCATCTTGTCCTACAGTCAGACGTAACTTGAGTGTTTTTGTTCCGTTTGAAGGTATTTTGATGGATGACCCAACGGCGTCATAAAGAGCCTTCAACAAACTGGCGAGATCCTGAAACAGACCAAACAGTAAACAATTACGTCACAAAATACCACATAGTACAGATGTGCTTTGTCTTTATAGCATCCAGATGAGCTCACTGCTTTCCAAGTGAACCCACTTCAAGGTCACTCTGTTATTAATCAACATTTATATCACCACGGTAACATGAAATGATTTTCCAAAATGCTAGCTGTAATAACATAAAACTATGCTAGATATGCATCTGCTGAAAATTCTAAAGTTGTTGAGTTAACCAACATTTTAGCTGGTTTGCAGTTGATACTAGAAAGTTCAAAGCAAGTTGTAACCACAGAAGTCTGCACGTACACTGCACATAAACCCGCAAACACACACCAACCACAAACATATGATGCTGATAATCTTTTTTAGCCTTTGTGAGGGTCAGGGATTCACAGAGCACAACTCTCTCTTGTGTTGGACTTCTGACAGCAACAATAAACTGGCCAAACACTGACACGGTTATCTCAAACACTGAAAACCCTGACTTCAAGAAATTTGGTACACACCACCATAGGATGAAAATCAAAAATAATTTACTGAGGCTGGAAAGCTGCCCAATACACTAATGGCCTGGAACAGCACTGCTGCCCACTGCTCTGTCTACTTGTAATTAATCAGACCTGGAGATTCATTAACACTGTGTTACAGGAAATTTAAGACTTTGCACATTTTTGTGATTATCTTTTAAAGAGGTACAAGTGATTTTGGAATTTCCTACATTTCTTAGATTATCTTTTACAAGCATTTTCACACATTTTTGTGAATATCTTTTACACATATTTTCCTACATTTTTTGTAATTATTTTCTACAATCATTTTTTTTTTCATTTTTTGTAATTATCTTTTACAGTTATTTTCATACATTTTTATGATTTTCTTTTACAAGTATTTTCATACCTCTTTGGTAATCATTTTTTACATGTAATGTCACACATTTTTGTAATCATCTTTTACATGTAATGTCACACATTTTTATCTTTATGTTTTCCAGGTACAAAGTAATTTTGTAATTTCACACATTTTCCCTTATTTTCTTTTACAGGTAACTTCACACACATTTTTGTTACCTTTTACAGTTAATTTCTTACGTACTTGTAATTATCTATTACAGGTAATTTCTAACGTTATTGTAATTATCTATTACAGGTAAATTTCTAACGTTATTGTAATTATCTATTACAGGTAATTTCTAACGTTATTGTAATTATCTATTACAGGTAATTTCTAACGTTCTTGTAATGATCTTTTACAGGTAATTTCTAACGTTATTGTAATTATCTGTTACCAGTTACATTTACACAATTCTACTATTGAGATCTGTACATTTCCTACACATTGTGAAAAGCATTGCTTGCTTCAATAGCTATAAATTGTAAGAATCTCTGAAAAAATTGTTTAAATGATCGGTTGAAACAACAGTGCCATCTCCTCTCCTTGCCAGCTGCAAAGTTGAAGAAAACATGCCAAACAAAATCATCGCTGATAGCATTTTTTGATGATAAGATGGGACAATAGAGGAGGACAGGATGGGACAATAGAGAAGGACAGGATGGGACAAGGTGTACACAAGGTATTGACTTCATCAATATTTAATGTAAACAGAACTTGGGTTTGACATCCTGTCATAGCTCCCAACATGTGCAAGGCTGATCATAATAACAAAATTATGTAAATTACCATTTAATATGCAAACTGACAAGCTGGCAGTTAAGTGAGACCTCGACATGACTGCATGTCACACGTAAACAGGTATTCAGCAAGATGATATATCAACTAGCACTAATAATCATTGGTGTTTTTGTTCGCCTAGCATCTGTGTCATATCATACATTGTCAATGGGCGTCATACCAAATGACATGTCATTTTCAGTGTGCATATTGTCTAGATATTAGTGCTCCTCTACAAAGTCACTTCCATGAATCCTATCAGACAATGCCTACCCCACACTCTTCTAGCCCTGTTCTGATGACAAACTATTCAACAACTTTTGTCTTTCAAACATTTGACTTTTTTTCTTACTCTGGAACATCTACCCTTCAAAGGAAGGTTAAGGTTTCTGTCCTTGTCCTTAGACTGGTGTGTTCACCCAAGTGAGGAAGGTTAAGGTTTCTGTCCCCTGTCCTTAGACTGGAGTGTCCACCCAAGTGAGGATGGTTAAGGTTTCTGTCCCTGTCCTTAGACTGGAGTATTCACCCAAGTGAGGAAGGTTAAGGTTTCTGTCCCTGTCCTTAGACTGGAGTGTTCACCCAAGTGAGGAAGGTTAAGGTTTCTGTCCCTGTCCTCAGACTGGAGTGTCCACCCAAGTGAGGAAGGTTAAGGTTTCTGTCCCTGTCCTTAGACTGGAGTGTTCACCCAAGTGAGGAAGGTTAAGGTTTCTGTCCCTGTCCTTAGACTGGAGTGTTCACCCAAGTACCCAAGTATGGAGTCATATGCACCACCATGTGGTTTAAATGCTTCATGATTTTCTTTAGGTTCTAAGAATATAGTTTCTGTCTACCTTAATCTTTGGCCCTCTACACTAAACAGTATTTGTGCTATATATGTATGAATTGATGCCCCAAATTCTATTTAACATTGCCCATCAGTCCTTATTTACTTACAGAATTTTCATCTAACAACACAAAACATCTTAACTGTATCACTGTTTGAATTGTTCACTCCTCTTTATTATAAAAACTGTAATGAGTTTTGATACCAACCTCTTTTGTAATCTTGCCGTGCCCATCAAAGTCGTAGAGAGTAAAGGACCACTCCTGTTTGTTGTTGTCTGTGCCACCAAATTTCACCCCACACTCAAACTCCTGTAACACAAAGTATGATATCCCTAATACAGTCATTACTAAAAAGAAGGTAGTGTGAGAGGAGAGCACACCATGTAGTACTATACAGTGAATGGTGACTTTACTCTAGAATATTCATTTTTCCACTAGGAATACTTGTCTTTTGGATTCTTCAAGAAGCTTGTGGGTTTTAAGGTAAATAATTACTAGTGTCATTATGTTTTATCTTTTACTTCTCTTGGAAACTAGAGACCATTACAAGTTTTCTCTGGTAATAAGCCTTTATCAAGCATACATCTTCAGCACAGACAAGTTTTCTCTGGTAATAAGCCTTTATCAAGCATACATCTTCAGCATTACAAGTTTTCTCTGGTAATAAGCCTTTATCAAGCATACATCTTCAGCAGAGACAAGTTTTCTCTGGTAATAAGCCTTTATCAAGCATACATCTTCAGCATTACAAGTTTTCTCTGGTAATAAGCCTTTATCAAGCATACATCTTCAGCAGAGACAAGTTTTCTCTGGTAATAAGCCTTTATCAAGCATACATCTTCAGCATTACAAGTTTTCTCTGGTAATAAGCCTTTATCAAGCATACATCTTCAGCACAGACAAGTTTTCTCTGGTAATAAGCCTTTATCAAGCATACATCTTCAGCATTACAAGTTTTCTCTGGTAATAAGCCTTTATCAAGCATACCTCTTCAGCACAGACAAGTTTTCTCTGGTAATAAGCCTTTATCAAGCATACATCTTCAGCATTACAAGTTTTCTCTGGTAATAAGCCTTTATCAAGCATACATCTTCAGCATTACAAGTTTTCTCTGGTAATAAGCCTTTATCAAGCATACATCTTCAGCAGAGACAAGTTTTCTCTGGTAATAAGCCTTTATCAAGCATACATCTTCAGCATTACAAGTTTTCTCTGGTAATAAGCCTTTATCAAGCATACATCTTCAGCAGACACAAGTTTTCTCTGGTAATAAGCCTTTATCAAGCATACATCTTCAGCAGAGACAAGTTTTCTCTGGTAATAAGCCTTTATCAAGCATACATCTTCAGCATTACAAGTTTTCTCTGGTAATAAGCCTTTATCAAGCATACATCTTCAGCATTACAAGTTTTCTCTGGTAATAAGCCTTTATCAAGCATACATCTTCAGCATTACAAGTTTTCTCTGGTAATAAGCCTTTATCAAGCATACATCTTCAGCAGACACAAGTTTTCTCTGGTAATAAGCCTTTATCAAGCATACATCTTCAGCAGACACAAGTTTTCTCTGGTAATAAGCCTTTATCAAGCATACATCTTCAGCAGAGACAAGTTTTCTCTGCATTCACAAACACTGATTTGTCTACAGTCAAATACGTTGTTTTATGTTGTAAAATAATTTCCCAAATCTATTGATATTTCATCATCTACTGACAATTGTGTTTGACTGCAAACTTATCCCATTGTTAAGAAGAATGCCAGGTAACATAGATAAAACTTGTTATAGCGCTGGATTTGGTTCTCTTAATCTTCAACCCAAAACTTTTATTATTTGTAAAACCTCAACTGATCATAAAGTCCTATTACAAAAATTTGATAAAAAAAATAAAGGTAAAGAGCTGAAACAATTTCAATATGAAAGCTCGGCTTTCCAGTAGATGATGAGGTCGGAAGCTGGAATCTGTCAATATAAAACAAAGGACACTCCTCCAATTAGGACAAAACACAACAACATCTTATCAGTTTAGAGTCCTACACATCAACACAGAACACACAAAACACTGTCTCTGTTCTAACAAGCAAATACCAGTGGATGAGGGACTCTCTCCCTGATGGCTTATAGCACCCGTCAGCTTCCAAACGAATGGGAGGTGATTATCCCCTCAAAAATGTCAGATACCCTGGCAAAAACATCAGATACAAGTCACATACCATCCACTATCTGCCCAGTATCTGATAGCAGATAGTTTTGGACAGGTAGACAGTAGGAACTCTACATAGAAACTATTGGTGGCTCAAGTCCTGAAGCCAGCCACTGAAATCCTTAGTCATTGCACAGATAAAACTCTAACACTGGAATGTGTGGACAATCTCCAACACCCAGCTGTTACAACAACTCAACCGATATTCCAAAATAAAAACTCCACTTCTGAATACTGGTAAGAACTCTAGAACAATCATTTACTACACTTCACCTAGAACCAGGCAAGCTCTTAAAGTATACACATGAAAGCTGAGGATATTTTCTGTTGAGGTACATCTACTGTGTTTTGTAACAATTCATTAATACTAAAAACCAGATTTGAAGAAATTCTGAAATAAATAATCAAATTCCACCGCGTAATCATGAAGACATAAAATTTAATTTAAACATTACGGAAAGAGGTGAAAGCTGAACATAAACAATGATTTAACATAATTCTCAATGTTTTTCCGCTTTTTTTTTCATCTGAACCTCAACAACTGAGATCAGATTAATTACAGCCACTAAGTACCCAGAATCTTGATACCTAAATGATAGGTCTTGAACACTCAGTGAAAAGGTATGCGAGTAGGAAGCTGGCTGCCGAGGTCCTAGTTATACCGGGTTGATTGTAGTTATATGCTGGTGTTCACTTATACAAAGGCAAATATAGGATGGTATTGTTATAGGAAACATAATGCAGGCCGCACAATCAAAGGGCTGGATCCTTTGACAGGAAAAACATAAAACAACCATCCATGTTACATTAGAAGGTCGATGAAAAAGTCAGGATATTTTCTGTTTGTTTAAAAATGAAATGATCATTTGATTGTGATAATGCTTGGATCATCTTCAAAGGGAGAAACAAGAGAATTGAGACACAGTACTTACACAGCAGACAACAGATGGTTTCTGTTGTACACAAACAAAATCCTATAAAAATCTTTTGAAATATGAAAAGTTTCCTGTGAAACATATCTCCTTGAAATGTGTGATACAAAAAATAAAATATTGTTATCATTTCTGTATGAAAAATATCTTTTTCAGACATGCTCCGTAAAGTAGGTGAAAAAATCTTACATCTGTTATGTAGGACAATTTTGGCCTGATGTATAGATACAGATGATGAACTAGATATTTACCCAAACAAATAAAACCATACAAAGATATACACACTTTTTAATGGCACTGAAAACATGTTAAATTTATAATAACCTTTTTTCTAATTCCTTTTTATTTTTATTTAAAAACAACAAATCCTGATCCTTGTTTCCAAAATTAAACTAGAGCCGTTTAAATTCTATCAGGACACAGAGGTGTCTGTGTAGGTTACTCATTACTTACACACTTTATATCTTTCTGTAACATTCCAAATACATTTCAGTAGCAAAAAGACTCAAATTTAAAAAAACAAACTTCAGTCTTCAATACTACAAACCTTTCTATTAATTTTCTCCTAACAGAAACAAACTTAGCAGCCCTAATCTATCCGTTTAAAATGTAACTGTAACACAAACACAAAGGTACCCAAAGGACTGAGCTGATCCTTAAACCTTTCAATTAATTTTCTCCAGACAGAAACAAAAATTGGCAACCCTGATCTATCGTTTAAAATGTGATTGTAGTACAGAAACAACAGTAGGCGATGGACCGAGAGGATCCCTAAGTACCAAACCTTCAGCCGTCAGCAGGTCTATAGTCTATATAGCTATCTAAGCCTTACACAAAGTACTCATATTAATGGAGTATAGAGATAGCATCACCAACACCACAAACATTTTCTAAAAAACCAGTAAAACACTTACATTAAAATATTTCCAATTTGAAAAGCTATAAAGTCTGGTTATGGTGATAGTTACGTAAAATGTGAATACTTTGCTGATCAAATGTTAGAACCTATCTAACACCTGTAACTATCTATCATTAAACACCCATTAGATACTCCATAATAATGGTTACGGTATTGGGAGAATTTCCCATCTGGTAAATGGAATATGTGGAAGTAATAAGTGCCCATGATAATTATACTGAATATTTCCGTACTTCAAAAGTTATGATGGAAGGTCTATGTAAAATTACCCTCAGAACGTCCAACTTTTTAAAAATCACACTTTTAATACACATTTGTATAGAATTTATTAAGGATCTTCAGACATGTTTATACAATATTAACCAAAGTTTACTTTGAGGTTTACAAACATTTCCGTAAGTAAGCCATACACAAGATCCGTTAAATATAAGTACATCTTTGCTGGAACAAAGAATATTTAAAGTGTAATTCTGACCTAATTAATACCAGATAACATCAATATTACAGGTGAAATGTTCTCTAATGGTACAATAGTCATGCAATGTGGCTAATGCTTATCTTGCCTTGCTATCATGTGAGAGCAGAGTTAAGTACATATATGGCTGCTGCAGGTATGAAACCTGGAATGTAGGCAACAAAAGATAGAAGGTAGATTACATGTTCAGAAGGTTGAAGCTGATAGCTTGCCTGTATAGAAGATGAAAGTCTACAGTAACAGAGGGTACAATGTAGCCTACATGTACAGTGGGTACAATGTAACCTACATGTACAGAGGGTACAATGTAACCTACATGTACAGTGAGTACAATGTAGCCTACATACAGTGGGTACAATGTAGCCTACATGTACAGTGGGTAGAATGTAGCTTACATGTATTGTGGGTACAATGTTGCCTACATGTACAGTGGGTACAATGTAGCCTACATGTACAGAGGGTACAATGTTGCCTACATGTACAGAGGGTACAATGTTGCCTACATGTACAGAGGGTACAATGTAATCTACATGTACAGTGGGTACAATGTAGCCTACGTGTACAGAGGGTACAATGTAGCCTACGTGTACAGGGGGTACAATGTACAGAGGGTACAATGTAGCCTACGTGTACAGGGGGTACAATGTAGCCTACGTGTACAGAGGGTACAATGTAGCCTACGTGTACAGAGGGTACAATGTAGCCTACGTGTACAGGGGGTACAATGCAGCCTACGTGTACAGAGGGTACAATGTAACCTTCGTGTACAGAGGGTACAATGTAATCTACATGTACAGTGGGTACAATGTAGCCTACGTGTACAGAGGGTACAATGTAGCCTACGTGTACAGAGGGTACAATGTAGCCTACGTGTACAGGGGGTACAATGTAGCCTACGTGTACAGAGGGTACAATGTAGCCTACGTGTACAGAGGGTACAATGTAGCCTACGTGTACAGAGGGTACAATGTAGCCTACGTGTACAGGGGGTACAATGTAGCCTACGTGTACAGGGGGTACAATGTAACCTTCATGTACAGAGGGTACAATGTAATCTACATGTACAGAAGATGGAATGTTGGCGATTTATACAAAAGCTAAAGAGATAGCTTAGATGTACAGATGGTAGAATGTACAGTACAAAAGGTGAATTTTAGACTACATCTATGAGAGATGTATTGCTGCGATAGTCAGAGGGAGCATGTCTATAATCACTGATTCTGATCATCCATCACCTCGCCAGGATACATCAAAGGCAGAATACCTGTCGTTAAGGTTCATCAGCACATAAAACAATTTCCTCACTGAAGTCAATCAGTCACACGATCAAGATGTAAACACATGACTGCCTGTTTTAGACGTGGGTAGGGAAAGCTCTCATGTCTATGTGTACATAGTTAATTAATGAATAAACCCAACAACTAACTTCAAGGGAATTATTCCATTATAAAACTAATACCTGGAAAAGGATCTATAGTTATTTACCTGTCCAATATCATACAGTTAACAGACAAATCATTCTGCTTACCTGTCACATATTACAAAACAAGGGAGATATTAATGTGACCTTTACTGGAAAATTAGGGATGTATCAAGAGCAGATAGATTCAGACATTTATGGATGTCAGAATTCTATAAAGGCTTTGAAATTCTGGCATTCAACCTAGACTTCAGAAATCTGAAGATCGGAGATTTTTAAATCAGATACCTAATGTGTAAAGAATGAGAATTCCATTGAGTGAAGACTTCACAAGTCAGACAAAATCATTCAAATCACAGTCAAAATACAAGATATTATATGTACTGTCTGTAATTTTGATGGACATTTGACATTTTATATATATAGAGGTGGTCATGTAGCTGTGATGGACATTGTATATAGGTGTGGTCACAATACGGAGGTATTTTATTTACCTGTAGTCGTGTGGACATTGTATATAGATGTGGTCACAATACGGAGGTATTTTATTTACCTGTAGCCGTGTGGACATTGTATATAGATGTGGTCACAATACAGAGGTATTTTATTTACCTGTAGCTGTGATGGACATTGTATATAGATGTGGTCACAATACGGAGGTATTTTATTTACTGGTAACTGTGATGGGACATTTATATACATAGGATTGGTCACAATACGGAGGTATTTTATTTACCTGTAGCTGTGTGGACATTGTATATAGATGTGGTCACAAAACGGAGGTATTTTATTTACCTGTAGCCGTGTGGACATTGATGTAGATGTGGTCACAATACGGAGGTATTTTATTTACCTGTAGCCGTGTGGACATTGTATATAGATGTGGTCACAATACAGAGGTATTTTATTTACCTGTAGCTGTGATGGACATTGTATATAGATGTGGTCACAATACGGAGGTATTTTATTTACCTTTAGCCATGTGGACATTGTGTTTAGATGTGGTCACAATACAGAGGTATTTTATTTACCTTTAGCCGTGTGGACATTGTGTTTAGATGTGGTCACAATACAGAGGTATTTTATTTACTGGTAACTGTGATGGGACATTTATATACATAGGATTGGTCACAATACAGAGGTATTTTATTTACCTGTAGTCGTGTGGACATTGTACATAGAAGTGGTCACAATACGGAGGTATTTTATTTCACAGAGATAGAGGTATAGTCATGATTCAAAGTTTTAAGGCAAAAAGCATAATACCTATGCTGTAAAAATCAACACCTTTCAAATAATAATTACACAAAGTTGAAATATCACAGAGAAAGGTAATTTAGATACTGAATCAGACATGTGTGAAAAACTCCCATATATCATTACTCGTCCTTTGTCATTCCTGCGAAGGCTGATTTGCCACCATCTTATGGGTCTGATAGCAAAAAATCACGAGTAGTCATCAACAGGCATTTATGATATTACCAACTTCAAAGCACCAGTTTTTAGTCTCCACCTATGTGTATGTCCAGCAGGAGAGGAAACACCTCGTTTGCCTCACCTGGTCAGATAATGGTATCTATAAACAGGGTCAATAAAGCTAGTAGAAGCTTTATTTATATAGAACCAAATCACCATGGTAAAGGGCCAATTAAACGCAAAATACACCATGTGGCAAACAGCGAATTAAACACAGTTTTTCTTCTTACTTTACTGGGCGTAGTCAGCTACACATTTAATACCAATAATCAATTAACGAGCTCTGATGATGATAGCCTCATCACAAGCCATTTCACACCTTTACCAACAATGCCCGAGTATGTATTAGTCAAAACTGAAGCTGACAGATAGTGGGCAAAGCAGACAAGAATTTGAGGAAGATGGAGAGTAACATGTATATTTTATTGTTTACAACACCTGATAAATCACTAGGCACATGAAGTATATAAGGTATTTTATATAGTGATATCATATTTCTATTAGGCCTTAGAGAATTACCTTCATGTTCTAACTTCCTCTATACATACAAGGAAGTTTGGGATTGGGAACCATTTTAGGCAGTGAAATCATATTCCCAAAATATGTTAATTAAGCTTTGAAGGCGTCTGGTGTCATATCCTAAATTGTTGTGTCTACAAAGGTGGACAGGTCAGAGTGATGTCCATTATACTAATCAAAAACAATGAGAGGTCAAGCTTTGATATCAAGCAACTACAACAACATCACATGCATAATATGCCAGTAAAAATGTACGATGGGTCAGTTTGATCAAAGTTTGGGCCCATTTTTATGGGTAGTGTACTGTCAAGCCACTTTGACCATGTTGTCTTTCCAAACCATAAAACAGATACACAAAGGATTGTCAGTCATATGAAAGGTTAATGTTGCTCTGATCAACTCCTTTATGTCAGAATATACTTGTCAATGTGACATGTTGATGTTTTAAAGATTTGAATGTTACTGGCAGACTGACCATACCTTGACCACAGTCTGTAATAAAGTAGGGGCTAGGGATGATGTAGGCCAACTAAAGCATGGACTAGTCATGTGCTAGAGATGATATTTGTCAAAGCATGTGCTACTGATGCTGTGGGCAATCTGAAGAGCATGCTCAGGATGCTGTGGCCAATCTGAAGAGCATGATCACGATGCTGTGGGCCAACAAAAGCACGGGCTACCAATGTCCTGGGCCAACAAAAGCACAGGCTACCAATGTCCTAGGTCGACAAAAGCACGGGCTACCAATGTCCTGGTCCAACAAAAGCACAGGCTACCAATGTCCTGGGCCGACAAAAGCACAGGCTACCAATGTCCTGGGCCGACAAAAGCACAGGCTACCAATGTCCTGGGCCGACAAAAGCACAGGCTACCAATGTCCTAGGTCGACAAAAGCACGGGCTACCAATGCTGTGGGCCAACAAAAGCACAGGCTACCAATGTCCTAGGTCGACAAAAGCACGGGCTACCAATGTCCTGGGCCAACAAAAGCACAGGCTACCAATGTCCTGGGCCAACAAAAGCACAAAGCTAGTGATACTGAGGGCCAGCTTAAGCACTAAGCAAAGACTAGGAACACATCACAAGACTAGGAATACTACAGGCTATCCCAAATTCATGTTTCCTCCGATCCGAAAATTCATGTTTCCCCTGATATAATTTATGTCCTCGAAGTTTTCAAAACTAAAATTAAACTTCAAAAAATATTTTAGTATAAACTATAGGGATAAGAGTATTAATTTCACATTTAAATGAAATTACAATGTGATTTTAAACATCAAGTATGACATTCTGTAATGAAGACACAGGAACATTTGACTACATCTCCAGCTCACAAAACCTTTTCAAAACAAATATTTTAAGGACTGAACCACACACCGAGATGGAGTACTTAATTATTTTGATTTCCTCTTACATATAAAATTGCTGTCAAACACAGAAGCCAGATATAATGTAATAATTAAAACCTATCCTGTGGGTATTTTGTTTTAGAGTCAGCGCAGTAACCTAAAATTCATCGTAAAACAGGTCTCACTCTGGCATCCTAACACACTCATTTAGTCACACTCACTATGTGGAATCTAGCTTTTCAGGAGACAATCATCCTTAATTGTATTGCAGGGTCTGAGTCAACATTTGGTGCTAATCAATTCTTATCAGTGTTCTCCATGTTATCAGGAAAACTCCATCTCATATTTTACACTAATATATTCCATTGGCTTTATCGATTAACAGAAATGTTTTTTTATGAGGAAACTACATTTAAAGCTTGATTACGATAAATTACTATGTTACTATTTCTCAATCATTATCCAACATTACACATAAAAACAAACTATTTTGATATCATGACTTTTCATACTTTAGTCGTGTAGGATTTTTAAAACAAATCTAGCTTTACAATTATTCAATCTGTGTTACTTACCTGTTTTCTGTGTGGCTAACACCACAGATTCTCTATATATATATATATGTTATATAGATCACAATATCGATGACGGTACGGAGCTTTCCAGTTTTGTTATAAAGAATTAAAACAACTTACCTCTATGTTTAAACGTGTGTCCTTTTTATTGTCTTCCTTGTCTCCTTTCTCTTTCTTATCCAATTCAGCTTGATCAAATGCTAAAATTTTGCTGGCATCTGTGTCCATCTTTTGGGGTGGTAACTCAACTGTAAAAAAATGAGGAATTTGACGCCTGGTTCCTACATGTCACAAAACAAGTTAATAGTGGTGAAATCAAGCTTATATTGGTTTCCCACCGAGGTCTTATCCTTCATGTGTTAGAAATGTGAAAAAGGTGTGAGATTTCTTGAGTGGAGGTATCAAGTGATAATACATGCTGTTTAAAAGCATTACTCGAAAATAAAGATGACATGCAAGCATCCTGCTGTTCTAGGTTTTCAAATTTCAAACGGCCTGTATCAGCAGCTCAAGTCCTCTCTCTGACTGTGCAAGGGAGGGAGTGCTATAAAATCAATAGCCTAACTTACAGCTGGGTCAACAGAGCAGAGGGAGGGGTTATGGTAACCCCAACAGCCAGCACTGGGAATATTGGCTGCCCAGACTAAGAGAGAAATTCAAACAGACTGTTGGTATATCACATTACATCATTCCCATTCATCATTCCTCCAGCATTCGCAAGAAGGGGAGCATCCAGTTATTAATCATTACCAAGGGGAGCATCAAGTTATTAATGTTGAATTTCATAAAACTCTTCATGAGCAGAGCCTGTGATTAAGGCAACTAAACAAGTTGTTTTTTCTGAAAGGCTAAATTTGCGACATCACAGACATCTGTTCAAAGTTATGTCTCTTTGTGTCTTCTTCTGAATGCTGCCTGTTCTATTATTGAATTAGTATTTAGCTGCTGTAATCATGTCCGTGTTTAAGTCTGACAGACCTTAGTAATCATTCCGGGAAATACATACCAGATACAAAAACTACATTAAACAAGATATTTTCCAAAAAAAAATCTAAAGAGAATTTAATAAATGTTAGATGAATAATTTTATCATGGTAATACTATGATGTGATAACGCAAGGGACAGATTAAAAGTAGGTTACCAAATACTGGTCTATACAACTGAAATGTATAATATATAACAAGAAAATTACAGTATGATGATTCAACAAGGTCTATCCATTGGGTGTGTATATCTAAATACAACAATCAATTCTGCCTGTTGGTCCTGTGATCATTTATTTCACATATAAGAATGAATATAATGACAGAATCGCATGCTAGAATTAATATAAAACAGTGTTACAGGCAAAACAGGTTGTGATGTCATTCATTGGAGTATGAACTTCACAGCATTCCATGTTTAAAGAAATATTTCACCATAAAAATATCATTCACCCAATCTGTTTTTGCAATTAAACATGATTCTTTCAATGAAACCTTCTTGTTTTTATGGCTCTTTATACAGGTGATTTTACAGGTAAGTAAACAGTGAACCTCCTACCTTTATGTACGTACTGAGAATCTCATTAAGACATGTGTAAAGGGATTTGACACACCATGCGGCAGTAAATCTAAGCTTAACTTCTATTATAGGTCATTATGTAACTGCCAGGTATCACCAAACTTCAAAGAATATCCAGATAGCTCCCACACTATCTTAACTTAAAGCATGCAGCTTTTTTATTCACAAGTCACCATGTGTCTATTTTAGTGTATGAAAGCAAATAAATCCTACACTTAATACACAAGCTAAACGACACAGACATGAAAAGGACCAATATTACAGGTTTACATAAAAACCTAACCAAAAGCTAAATCTGGAATCATAATACATTTAGTATTAAAATACACTGCACAATCTGATAAGAACATGATTCTCTTTTAAAGGTAAAGCTGAAAGGTCTTATGCATATATATATAGATATAGTAGGATCCATTATCATAACCTTCAAACATCTGTGTAGGTCATCAAGAAATTTAATTCTATAAAATAAATAAATAAAATTTCATTATTAAACAAACTTGTGCCACAGTCCTGGAGAATGGGGATTTTATCAAATTTTTTTTTCAAATCTCCTTTAAGTAAAAGTTAAAAGTAAAAAACTTTAGATATCTCTTTGATATTTCGATAAACAGGTGTTTTTTTAAAATTAATTTCATGATGCAGATTTAAAAGAAAAATATTTGAAAACTGAGTGATTGTGTAGTTAGGAGGTGTTGACCTTTAAAGAGTGACCCTTCTGTCCATACTTATTAACACTATGCGGCTGTGTCTGAAGTGAATACGGAGTTTTTGTATATTGTACTAAATTTACCATAAATCTGTCATAATTTTTCGAACATTGAGTACAGGGGTCGTTAAAAACCTTTTAAAGTCTGATATATAGACCATGCACCTGCATATTAATATCTATAACTAGCCTTTTACTACCTACATCACCTATAACTAGGTAGTGATCTTATCTGATCTCATCATCAGACAGATATTGGTTCTTGGAGAATTCTCCGCTTGGAGATATTTCTTGATTTTATTTCGAAACAAACTGTCAACTTTGCTTCTGATCTATTGCTCACTTCTACCCATATCTTACTTAATTTTCTAATAAGCATTTCATGATAAACACATCCTGACATGATCTTAATCAAAGCAGTCTGTAACTCACTAGCCCTTGGTTTTTTTTTTAAACTTCCTAAATCTCAACCCGAGACTTATATATGCTACCTCTGGGATTTCTTTGGGAGCCGATGTAACTTAACAGGAAACGTCATATACCTGCTGAGCATCCCAACAGGAATCGAAAGTGGGTGTCTGTCATGATAATCCATGTCTCTACAAATTGAGCCTAAGAACCATATGCTCTGTCAACAGAGTGACAGATACCATGTTTTCCATTATATGCACAAGCATAATGTCCCACCCCTTTTACAGAATTCAGTATACAAAAGAAATAATTCTGTTCTATAAAAATTGATAATATCCTTCCCTCCACTGTCTAAAAACTACACATTTGTATAATAACAACAACTAACTAAGTAAACATCTGCCATTAGGTACTACTAGTTCTATATATCATAACCATATGTTCACTGAAAGGTAAACCCTTTCTTACCTGTTTTTCTAATTAATCACCTAATACCTACTGGTATATGATAACTCAGGTGTCAGCTGTATGTGGCTAATTGGCAAATTGTTTTGAGACCCTATAATAGCAATTAACTGTTTATCTTGTAAATCTAACAAAACTCCATCTAATTACTCAAGGTCAAACTACAAACAATATGAAAACAAAATCAATTGAAGGTCATCGTTTCAAATTATTCTATATGTACAAGTATATATGTAAAACCATACATATGACTTCAAAGAAAGATCTAAATTACAGATATAAGATGTGGTTTACTAGATATAAATAATAATAGATCTGAGACACAGGTATACTAGATCTATATTATAGAGATCTGAGACACAGGTATACTAGATCTATATAACAGAGATCTGAGACACAGGTATACTAGATCTATATAACAGAGATCTGAGACACAGGTATACTAGATCTATATAATAGAGATCTGAGACACAGGTATACTAGATCTATATAATAATAGATCTGAGACACAGGTATACTAGATCTATATAATAGAGATCTGAGACACAGGTATACTAGATCTATATAACAGAGATCTGAGACACAGGTATACTATTTCTCCAAGATAAGAACTTTTTTTTATCTAAGGCCATTTATGCATTAAAATTCCTGTTTCAAGATATGCTTTAAATTAAAAGAATATGGCATGAATATAATTTTCAAGAAGAATGAAGACAAGCTGATTAGTTGTATATAAGTATGCAGTGTAGGTAATGCACCGAGATACACTGCAGGTGCACCGCATGTAAAACACAGAGACAGAAAAGTGTCAGAATACTCACCTCGTAATGGCATTCCGGTGGAGTTATCTTCAATGCTAATTGATAATTCCTGTAAAGACATAAGGAATACAGGTCTATAAGTATAGATAATTACCAGGGCATGTGTACACACACAAACACAACTAATCAGATTAATTAACCTTACCCCAGCAGCCACACATGTGTATAGCAACAGCAGGGTATATGGCTGTAGCTATTCCACTAATGTCACAAACAAAACAGCGACAACACCAGTATGTCATCTACAGAGCACTGATGTTAATGTCACAACAACACTAGTACATCATCTACAGAACACTGATGTTGATGTCACAAACAACACCAGTACGTCATCAACAGAACACTGATGTTGATGTCACAAACAACACCAGTACGTCATCTACAGAACACTGATGTTGATGTCACAAACAACACCAGTACGTCATCTACAGAACACTGATGTTGATGTCACAAACAACACCAGTACGTCATCTACAGAACACTGATGTTGATGTCACAAACAACACCAGTACGTCATCTACAGAACACTGATGTTGATGTCACAAACAACACCAGTACGTCATCTATAGAACACTGATGTTGATGTCACAAACACTAATAAACTGTCTTCACAGTACACAAAACAAAGCTGAAAGATGTCTCACAACACAAGGCTGAAATATGATAAAACACTGTACTTTTACACCCCAAATGTCAAAATACCAAACTATGATAAAATTTCTAAATCATAAACACCGCAAATGTCAAACAGGGTTGGTTGTTTGCTGTAACAGCTCAGATCCCAAAACTGATATCAGTAAAGGGGTGTGTCAGGTTTCCTTATAATATCAGGGGTTCAGAGTACCCAACAGTGTAAACCAAGGAATCTCACCTTATCCTTATCTATAGTAAAACATAGATATCTAGATTAACCTTCAGTGAGAGCAACTCAAGAACAAGAGAGAGTAACTCAGAAAAAACATCTCAGCTATTTCACTTCTGACTCCAGTAATTATGTAAACATGTAATCTGACATTCTAATTGGTGTCTCAATTTTTCAGTTAACCCAAAAAAATTTTAAAGACACTCAACAATAAAATCAAAGAGACAGAGATTACTGGAATAATTTGATCTAAAAACACTGAATTTGAGTCCTTTGTTAAAAAGCCATCAGAAAAAAAATAGTTTTATACCACCAATAGATTCATACATCTGTATCTGAGGCAAAGGGACTTAATATAATCCACTTTTCAGAAAACATTGAATATCATACATACAGTTGGCTATCAAAAATGTGTAAATATATATTTATCATAACAAAATCTAATTAATGAACATACAAATTAAGTTAGACAATAGTTCAATGACAGTATGTACTCCTCTGTTTCACTGTTGAAATAACTCAATATTACTAGCAATTCCAGGAAGATGTCCCTTATATCAGATCTTCACATCACTGTTACTGGTTTTGAAAAAAACAAATGTTCTTTGACATAACAAGTATCACTATGTATGCTGTTGTCACCACAAATCCCACGTATGATCACAATGTTTCCATGTGCCAGAAACTAGAAGAGAATAATGATGTCGATATCAGGCCTGAACTAGGAGACATTCCTCATCACAAGCTAGCCTTCTGACTCCTAATGGTACACCACTACAGTTCCCTGCTTACAGACCATCACTCTCCCACAACATTATTGGATACTGTCCTGGATTGGCTTCAGAAGTCATCTGCAGACCTCCAATCAGTGGGTGAATATGTCATCTCCAGAGTATCTCTACTCAGTGGTAATAATCATACAAAGATGTAAGGAATGCTAACTAACTATTTTAGTACTTCACTTCTAAGCCAGCACACTGATATATCTATACATACTTACCTTTCTCTAATAAATCAAATACCAGGAGAGAAGTACACAAAATTACAATAGCTGGTCCTCGTAACACTGATGTGGCCAATATAGTATCCCAAAACTATTGCAATAACAAAAATATGAGATAAAAACATTCTTGATGCCAAATAAACACCTGAACATTACGAAATCCCACAGGATTGTTTAACTTATCAGTCCTATCAAACACATTGCTTTGCCAGCCTATACCTACGTAAATCCCATCTGTTTTTCCCCTCTTGTTTACGATTTCCTCTCTGTTCAGAAAACAACATTAATGTACAATGATATCTACACAGTCATGGTATTGATATAGTATTTCTGTACTTGGATGTCTCACTGTGAAACACTTACCTGTACAGGTATCCTACTACATTGTTTACCTTGTGTTAGAGTGACCTAGTACACCTCAAAACATTTACCTACAAAACATGTCACATGCCTTACACATCCTACCTTGTACATGATAAGACTGGCTCCTCATAAATGTGCCAGTGTCAGACTGTCAGTCCTCTCTGTATGTACTACTGCCACCCCGGTCAGTCCAGCTATACCAGGGATGACCAATCAATCGATTGCGATAGTATTGATGTCCCTGAGTGACAATTCCCAGTGATATGACTGGTACAACATCGGTTTTATGACTTGGTGGTGTTTAGTAGGTCTAATGCCCTAAGCTTTTGTGTAAGTTTACATAGTGTCATTCACCAACACTGTTTTTTCATGCCCCAGGGACTCACTAATCTGACTCCCTAAGGAGCTATCCCACAGTCAGTAGTCACTGATGGATAACCTTCACACTTCTAAACAAGGTCAAACAAATAAAACCAGGGGGCCAGATTTGAGACATCCATGACAAATCTACATCCATTCAAACAAGGATATTGACTGACAATGAGGTCATTATCAAGGTTTTATCATCCTCGCCTACCAACTGTAATGACCAGGTATATGGAACGTGTAAGACACTAACCACTGGTTAATGAAGGTAGACATACTTAATAACATTAGATCATCACTCACTAGAGTAGGTGTTGTCAATACCTGTCACTGATCACAACAAAAACATGTTACTCTATCACATTAATAACCCCGAATAATTACAATGACAATAAATGTTCAGCAACATATTTCCAGAATGGAATTATAAATCCTAAACAACTCTAAACATTTTCAAAATTCTTGAGTATTGCAATCAAGATTTGTTGTACAGTTATAGTAAATATGTTAAACTTTGACAATATTGATTACATACCATTGTACTAATCATGATGTCTAATAACTACTGTTGTGGGTTTGACTTTAAACCACAAGCGGCTATTAAAAAAATTGAAATGAAAATATGAAAACCAAAAGATTTTTTGTTCTTTTTTTTTTGTATCAGAAATATTGATCCTTAAATTAATCAGTACAGTTTTATTATCATTAAGTACAAAGATTTTACAACAGATCTGAGAGGAAGATATTTAATTATGATATGTTATAACTTGATTACATTGAACCGTTTATCAAATTTCTTTGATCCTTTTCATTTTCACTGAGTAAAGTAGCTATAGGTCTTACCCCAGGACATCTGCAGTACATGGCATCTCCCAGGATGTGTTCACACTCGCTTCAGATTGCATGCAGAGAAATAACAAAGCCCTTGCTCATAACGATTGTTCTCCGCACCATGAAATCGTTAACACCCCATAAACGACACTTTGCCCCACAACGATGAATAATAGCAGTAGCGAGTAAAACAAGCACCCTTGTTAAGTACCAGAAAAACCCTAAAGACAAAGATCCACCCTATAATAGTGTTAATGTCTTACATCAGTGCTTTGATGTGGAGTGGAGCTCTCCTCTATCGAAGGATGGAAATATCACCTTGGGGAAAAGAGTCCACCTCTACAATTAGTCACAGCCATATCCACAACTCCTGGAGTTAAGTGTCCACTGGGATCCACTGGTCTTTGAACACCAACAGATTCATACATGTAATATTCATTTACCTATTGCCCAACTACCCTGACTGGTCATTATGAATCACTTCTGAGTATATATATGAACAAAGTGCTCTCAACACAACCACCTAGCCCCATCAGCTGTAGGGTCAGCAATAAATTGATTTGGAAAATTACTGCCATGGGGCACAAATCTTTTGATGAGATATGATAAATATGTGAGTGATCAATTTTTCTTCCTCATTGTCGACAGTCTAACCAACTGAATCATTCAATTTGTTCGTTTGCTTGCCAATAATTTAAACCTCTGTCCTCACTGTAAACAAAGGTTTCAAAGAGTTCTGTGTATCACTGCACTTCTGAACAGATATACAGTAAACCCTATTCTGTCTATTACTTTCTATATATCAGCAGCCATTTTCAGTGTCCCCATTGCTATGTAAGGCTGCTGACAGACTATAAAGGAAATTCCTTACAAATGACAATTTTTCAAGGAGCAATGTTCAGATTCTCCAGGAAGACTAATAAGGTTTAAGTGTATGTGTGAAGACTTCTTCTCTGTAGCTTTATAGGTTTCATCCTTTGTACCTTTTTCTGTGTTTTAAATGACTGGATGACAGATGGAACAGAGTCCAGTCTGTTCTTTTATGATGATGACAATTGAACAAAATGAGACAATCAGTCCCTTGGGTTGCCAGGCAACCATTGTCATGAGATATAAAAGCTGTCTATGTACTTGGAGGTAGACACATAAATTTTTCATGGTCATTAAGTGTGGTTTACTTTGACCAATCTTCCATTTTTTATTGTAATGACTATTTGGTGAGAGAAAATCCTTTGGGAGAAAACAAATCAGATGATGGTAAAATTGGACACAAAGATGTCTCATTTAAAATACATTTGGCCAAATCATTTCAATAGAGACCATCGTCCAGTTTTAATTGATATGTTAAATTGATAGAAGTTTGTCTCTTCCTAGTGAAACTGTCTCCCTAAGGTGTCTTATTACAGCCACTGGACATTGTTGTACATAGTATATTGATACAATCGGTACAGAGGAAAAGTCAACGGATGGATGTGCATGTTAGGTTGAGATTTAGTAAGATTACTCAGCCTCCCATAGGTATATTGACATGCAACAATTACAACCTACAGTACTATTGTATCAATAAGTCAACACAATGTTTCACAGTTGCTCAATTATCTGACATATATATTTTGTATAAAGG